TGAGTCAAGTTCATCAAAGAAAATAACACATGGTGTCGCACTCTGTGCCCTTGAGAAAACCTGACGGACATTCTGCTCACTTTGCCCAACATACATGTTGATYAACTCTGGGCCTTTCACACTAAAGACAAATATTTTATTCTTTACTATTCTGGTTGTTTAAATATTATTACCTGAAAATCAAATTAATAAGTATCTGAATCATACCTGAGAAAGTTTAAGGAGCATTCTGTAGCAACAGCCTTTGCCAACAATGTTTTACCAGTACCGGGTGGGCCGTATAAAAGAACACCTAATCATACAATTAGAAGAGTTGATCAGGGAAGCTAAGGAAAGAACATTTTATCAACATTATGAAAAGAACGTTCTGTAGCAACAGCCTTTGCCAACAATGTTTTGCCAGTACCAGGAGGGCCATATAAAAGAACACCTAATCATACAATTAGAAGAGTTGATCAGGGAAGCTAAGTTTTATCAACATGACAACAAGAGCATTCAAATTTTACCTGATCGTCTAAGCCCAGATGCAAATAGTTCAGGATGTTGAAGCGGTAGTTGTATGGTATCTAATAATTCTTCCTTTACATCAATCAATCCTCCAATATCTTGCCATAAAACATTAGGAATCTTAGGGGCACCAATAGTATCAGAGTGCTCTGCTCTAATGGTCTCAATGGCTTCTTSAAAGTCTTTCCKGTTGATKTTGGCATCAAACCTTTCATCAAGCCCTTCATYATATTTATTATCAAATTCCTTTACAGTAATGAAGTCTTCTTGCTCAGTGGAATTGATTTGAGTCTTCTTTGAAAGTCTTTCGCAAGCATTTTTGGCAGCCTTGGTGAACAGAGAAACAATGTCTGCTAAAACTAGACCTGCTGTTTTCTTTGATACCAAGCCAAAGGACACATCTTGGTCAACCTGACACATTGATGCCAGGGCTTCWATTATTTGCCTTCTTTGTGGTTCTGCAGGAGTCTGTACACTGACCTCATGAAGAAAACATGAATAAAGCTGTGTTGRAAGKGGATTATTTGAAGATGACRTTGCTATGACAACTACTGGCCACATTGTTACTTCCTTTAAGTTRCCAATGCATTGCATGAGGGTGCTGGTGACACGAGGCTCATCTTCAAGTCCATCTCTGTCTTTGACTAGTATGTCAATGTTACGGAGTAGTAGAAGAMATGGTCGAGAGTTCATGGCTAGACACAAAAATATTGAAAAAAATACAATAATTAACTCTTAAAAGTATGCTCTTACAAATACARTTGACCTTGTTTTCTTACAGAMTATCCCCAGCAGAAGTTTCATATTTCATTAATTTTCACAAACCTTTTTGGAATAAGTTGTTTACTCTGCTTTCTGTTGCGGCCATAGACTCTCCAATCATGTCATAGCAGTTGATGTTCATAACACACACACCAAGCTGTCTTCCTATTGCCATGACAACTGTTGTTTTACCTACTCCTTTAGGTCCAGTCAGCAGTACAGCTGGCATCATATTCACACTACAAGAAAGCAATTGGACACTGATTGGACACATGAATGTATCTTTTAAAACAATATGAAGCACAAACAAAAATTACAAATAACATGGAGCCCCTAACAAAGTACTCTTCACACAATGGTGATCAAAAGCTGCTTTTAGAATGCTAAAGGTTCAATGATTTTCTACTTACTGTTCCTTCAAGTAAGGTTTAATGATGTTAATCAATTCCCTTGTAGGTTCATGAAGACCAGGTGGTGTTTTTAACAACCAATAGTTTGATTTGTTCACAAATGATTGTGTATAAGTTGGAACAAAACTATGGACTGATGTGGTCTATAGGCAAAAAATAAAAAAATGAATAAACATTGTCATAGTGTTCATGGTGCGCTTACGATGTAAGTATTGTGTTACCTGATAAACTGTAGTATGATCTGTATCAACCAAACCTGATGACTCATCTTTACCCGATACAACTAGTCTCTTGACTTTAAAATAGATAGTCCTTAAATTTCTGTTTTCTTCTACCATCAATGAATTTACTGAGTCCTTTTTACTGTCAAAGTTGACACACAAAACATCCCCTACTGTTAACAGTCTTGGTTTGAAAAAATGTCTCTTTAATGATTCATCAAATGCATCACCTGGGTTTGTGAAGGGGGTCTTGATGAGGGATAAATGTGCATCTTGTGCAAATGATACTGAAGTTGTATTAGATAAGTCAGGTTTAGCAAATTTCATTGTTTCTGTGTCGAGATTCAAAAATAATTCACTTGAATCATTATTGGGAACACTTTGTAAAAGATTGAACATCACTACTGATGAAACATGCACCGTCTTCCTTGCCTTCATAATATACTCATCCATGTCAAGAACTTGGATTTGCTGTGCCTTTGGGATGTAAATGTTTAAAGCTTTCTCAATAGGAGTAATTGCAAGTAGTTGCACATAATGACAAGTACTACTGCCAGCTTTTCCTGTTGCTTTTCTGTCACTGATTGAAGTGCTACAATTGCTGGCTTCTTCTTCCATGGTTTGAATACATGTAGTTTCARTTTTGATTGTGCCTTTYATTGMTATGTTATTCTTTGACGTATCTTTATGTAGCCAAACTTTTACCCAGGAACCATYGTGGACTTGCAGTTCCATCAGAGTTTCCATGGAAACATAAATGCAATGKGTATCATGTTCATCAAATTTCCATTTATTCCTTATTGAATTCATGAATGCAAGATGCAAATCATTCCAGTATTCRACTTCAATCCTMAACYGTTTTGTCTTATYTTGGAGATTTTCATCCCACAGATCTTTGAGAGGAGAAACAAAGTCAGCAATWAGGAGAGGTAGTGGATTRTCTTTGATATCAACRGATGCATTGGATYGACAAGTGTTGCCAATACACTCTAAGCTGTCTTCATAACTTGCGTCAATTATAACCCATTTTGYGTTAAGATCTGTTGTTCCTTGTGACACTGGTTCACAATGTTTGACTTCTAATTCTACTTTAAAAGCTTGACCTTCATGCTGTAATTCTAAAAACCTCTGATTACCTACAGACATGACTTTATCAAACAGAAAATGTTCGGGACCATGCAAAAGAAGTGAAAGATCTTGTGCATGTTTTTTATCGTATTTGGCTGTTAGTATAACCTGTGAGAGTTTCATAGGTAACATGTCGATATCTACTATGTGACCTGTTCTAAGACCATGCCTTGATAAGTCGTCTTCCCATAATATCAAGTGTAAATATCTCTCTCCGTTTTCTTCACATGTAGCACCACCTTCAAGGCTCTTGATCTCCTCAGGTGTAAAATGTCTGCAACGAACATTAAGGTTATGATTTCTAAAACCATCTGAGCAGTTCGGATCAAGTTTGACTTCTAAGGATATAAAATTATCTTTGCTAAATTCATTTTCCTGGGACGGCAATACTGCATTATAATCTAGGAAGTCGTCTCCATACTTAGAGCCAAAAGAAATTGAAGAAACGCCGTAGATCTTAGCTAACACCATCACGAAAACTGTCCACAAAAACACTTCAGGCTGACCGCCATTTTGGATAATTTATGCGTCAAATTGTTTAAAAGGCCTGGTGATGAGCTCGCACCAGTCTTTTTCCATTTATTGCATAATTATTTAAAACCAACATGCATTTGTAATTTGTCATTTCCACGTGTTTTTCATGTTTTGCAGTATTTCTTTCTACTTTTTTGGTAACCATGGACAATATCAATCATAAATTGGAACTAGACGAGCCCTTGTTGAAGCACAATCCACATAGGTTTGTATTATTTCCAATTCAGCATCCAGACTTATGGCATTTCTACAAGAAAGCACTAGCTTCCATTTGGACAGTCGAAGAAGTTGACCTAAGTAAAGATATCAATGACTGGAGTACTTTGACGGACAGTGAGAAAGGGTTTTTGTCAAAAGTGCTAGCCTTTTTTGCAGCCAGCGATGGAATTGTAGGAGAAAATCTTGTTGAAAGATTCTGCCAAGAAGTACAAGTACAAGAAGCAAGATGTTTTTATGGCTTTCAAGTGACAATGGAGAATATCCACTCCGAAATGTACAGTCTTTTGATTGATACTTACATCAAGGATAAGGAAGAAAAGAATAAGTTATTTAATGCTATTGATACCTTCCCTTGTGTTAGTAAAAAGGCTGGATGGTCTATTAAGTGGATTAAGTCRAAGACTGCTTCATTTGGAGAAAGAATGGTWGCATTTGCTGCAGTTGAGGGGATTTTCTTTTCTGGTGCTTTTGCAGCAATATTCTGGTTTAAAAAGCGTGGGTTATTACCAGGATTAACACACTCTAATGAACTAATCAGCAGAGATGAAGGTCTTCACTGTGATTTTGCATGCTTGATGTTCTCTAAACTTATCAAYAAACCMACTGAAGCACGGGTTAGGGAGATTATTTGTGAAGCTGTTAACATTGAAAAGGAGTTCTGGACTGATGCCCTTCCATGTCATCTCCTTGGAATGAACAGTAACCTTATGGGTCAATACATTGAATTTGTGTCTGACAGATTGCTTGTTGCCCTTGGTTTTACAAAGGTGTACCACACAGGAAACCCATTTACATTTATGGAAAACATTTCACTTGAAGGAAAGGCTAACTTCTTTGAGAARCGAGTAGCAGAGTATCAGAAAAATGGTGTCATGTGCAAGAAACATGAGAGATTTCATTTTACTTTGAATGAGCAGTTTTAAAATGATCTTGCACAAAGTAATTAACTAAAAATGATTTGGTAAAAGTAATGTATTTACGGTAGAACAAAAAACACATTTTTGATATAGTAGATCAAAAGTTATATCTACATTGATACATTTGTATATCTATAATAGTATATTTCTTTGGAGTGAAATTTATATTTATTGTAATGAACATGTTTTGCAAAGAATAAAACTTTTTTACCGTATTGGGATACCTGTGTCTTGTTTATTCTCCCTAGTCCCTCTCGTTAGTGCTGATCCAAAATGGCGGGAGGTTTGGATTGTCTAAAAGTCGATGGAAAACTCAACCCTCCTGCAGCAACGCTACAAAACTGTCTTAAGTTTTCTCATGATTGTAAATATCTAAGTCTTTTATGTGATTTTGGATTGACGACTGTTATTGAAATAAAAGGTAAGCGATTTGTAGAAAAAGTCATTGACATTCGTGAAAGCTTAGTTAATTCTTGTCTTCTTGCTAGATAAGACATCATTAATCCCACGTGGAGTTGTGTTGAAGACGCTAAAACATGACAGTGAGACATTAGAGGGACACACATGGTCTTCAGATGATGAGATATATGCAGTGCTCAGTCAGAAGGCTTACATTTACATGGTATATATTTTTTATTTATTAAAAGCTAATTGTAGAGCAGAGTCACATGAACCATGAAATAAGA